GGATTCCCCAAAATGACCAGCAAAGACAGCACACTGGGGGGGTACTTCATACCAAAGGTAAGACAGAAACTGAACAAAAACTGCATCTGAAATTGCATGTAAAATGTCAACACAGGCAGCTGTCATGATGAACCAAAAATTGTGCATATGCACTATATGCTTCATGAAAATGTGTGATCTTTGTACGAGTGCATTCCTGACAGACCGTTGCTATTCCCCCCCTGTAGGGGACGAGTATAACCCCAATCCTTACCTCTGTACTGAATGATAAGAGCGAGTGGGAGACTCCGAACACCTTTACCCCGGGGCATTTCCTGGATTCCCAGGGTCGGTTTCGGAGACGGGACGCATTCTGTCCTTTTTCGGCTGGTAACTTACTTTCTTTTCACTTTAGAGGCTCTTTTACGGGCAAACATGGCTTAACTCTAACCAAAGAACCACTAATTCTGGTTAACAGTCTTCTCGTGTGGTCACCACGCTTTCCCCAGGATTAAGGGCGTGTCTGGGGGAGCAGCTGGCTCAGATGGAGCTCTTCCTGTTCTTCACCTCCCTTCTCCAGCACTTCACCTTTGCTCCACCCCCTGGAGAAGTTGTTGACATAGAAGGAGTGCTTGGGTTCACCTATTTCCCAAAGCCCTACAAGATGTGTGCTACACCCCGCTGAGCTTCTACACAGGGATAAACAGCACCAGGCTACGGGAAGCACATTAACACACCCCTGTGTAGATCCTCCAAAAAACTTTTAAAACATCATTAATGACAATAGCTATTAAATTTGTTTGTATTGTTATCCGATGCTCACAGGTTCTTAATATCACACCACCAGGAAGTTCAGGCGGAGATCATAGAAGGTGGTTTTAATATTATGGCTGATCGGTGTTTGTCATTTATTAATCCAGTTGGCATATAAATGCAGTCAGTCTTCGACAATAACTTTGCTGCCAACTACAGCTAAAACAGCTTAAATTACTTGCTACAGGAAGCACATTAACACACGCCTGCATAGATCCTCCACAAAACAAGATCTCATCAGTGACAATACCCACTAGCTGTGTGCAATTATAGCATAAATGTTTGTGCTCCTGAGTTCACGTGTATCCTGACCTGTGTTGTATTTGTAATCTTTGTGTGCTCTAGTGATGTGATGTGATTAGTCAGTCAAATGCATTTCTATAGTTTAAGTTGGTTGATCAGGTATCTATCATAAATCATAAATTCACACACCACAGCAATTCACCGGAGGTATGGTTATTATACGTCTTTATGTATTGGTGTGTATCAAGGTGGTCTAAAATAAACAACAATCTAATCTAAACAGTACCATCTAGTGGTTATACAGTAGAATGAACATGGGTTCATGGAGTTTCCCACAACGTCACTACAAAGTTAATTCGTCAATGTACATAAGTAGTATGACAACCACCTGCTTACGTACAAGGAATTAACAGCAAGTTATACAGTATGAACATCTCATTAGTTGCTGGTAACAAAAGTGGCAAACAGACATGAACTCCATTTGTACTCACATCAGTGAATACATACAGGGGGATGACTACAGGGGCAGGGTGTGGCTCAGTGGGCTAAGCCTGTGTGCCTGTAATCAGATGGTTCAAACCCAGCCTCAACACATCTGCGGGACCTTGAGCAAGGCCTTTAACCCCCGGCTTCCTGGGCGCTGCTACAGGTGGCTGCCTTACATGGACAACTTACTCTAAATTGAGGGAGGCATAAAGACAATTTCCCTCCAGGGATCAATAAAATATCTATTATTATACTATATTTAGCTATTAACACAGAGAAAACTCCTATAACATCTCTAAGAACAGTAAACTAAGAATAAACTAACACAATAAATTAATAACTCATTTTGAGTAATAACTCAAAGTTCTTTGAGTGTATCCCATGTCATACCAGTTCACTTTTATACTGAATAAATTATTTCATTGTCTACTTTTGTTCAGGCCACATATTACTAGGGGTAAAACCTCCCAAAAACAGCAGATAGCTTCTTACACTTCAAACGTGTCTCAGTGTCATGCTGTATGTGACTTTTTCAATGCTTATTTTGGTGAGATGGATAAGGTAAAGCCAACAGCACCATCTGCAGCAGCCACCACCTGCCCAGCAGGAACTGATATGGCACAATGGATATATAAAGCATGGAAGCTGACTTTGGCAGCAGCAGAAATGTTAAACTGAGATTCTCACACCATCGCCAATCCCTTCTGCCACACTGCTAAGATGGCAGGTGATTCTGAAGATGGGTTTAACTGTCAGTCTCTGGCAGTCTGCACTCTGGACCTGTTTGAAGCGGGAACAGGGTCTCCTCTTTGTCTTTGTTTTTGATTGTTACTGTCAGCGGTAGAGAGGCTGGGTCTCCTTCATCCATTCAGACCATGTGTTTATATGCTTTTCCGCTGGTCTAGCCTTCATCCCATGAGAGTGCCAATGAATTTATCCGTTGCATTCTTTGAAATCTCCAGATTCTGTGTGTCTGTTCACTTATCTAATGCTCACAAGTTCTTCCTATTACACCACCAGAAGGTACAGGTGGGGATCAAAGAAGTTCACAGTTGGAGACGCAATGTTGGGACACCAGCTTTATCTGCTATTCAAGTTCATCAGTAACTAACTATGCTGGCAACTAGAGCTAAAACAGCTTACATTACACAAGTCCTTATCTCTACTGCTGGCCGCAGTCGCTAGCACCCCTTCCCCCCATGGGACACCACCCCTGGTTATTTACACAAAAACACTATCAGGGTTTTTCCTGGCTCAAACTGAGGCAGAGGTGGTACCATCCTGACCAGCACA